AGGGGACTCGCCTTTTGCGGGGCCGCAGAGCCCCCCCCCCCCCCCCCGCTCTCCTGCAGTTCTGGAGGGGAGTGGGGTCTAGTGCATTGGGTGGGGGGAAGCTGGGAACCAGGACTCCTGGGTTCTGTTCTTTGTTTTCCTCTCAAGTCTGGCTGTTGTTTGCCTCAGTTGCCCTTAGCTCTGGCCCCGCCTCCTAGTAACTGGGGGGGGGGGGAATAGTGGGGGGGGCAAACAGCTGTGGTCTTTCGCTTCCTGTTTTCGTGTGCCCCTTCGCAGCCCGCAGCGCGTTTTTGCCGAGCGTGGGTATAAATAACGTACGGGCCGACCGCAGCGCAGGCTTCTGGGAAACCCAGCCGGTCCCCATGTGACTGACGGGAGCTGCCGGCCAAGGCCCCCCCCCAAACACCCCTCAAAACCCACATCCTTGTTTACATTGCAGCGGGGGGCGGTGAGTCACTGGCTCCAGTGATGCAGCACGCAGCACTTCAAGGTGCTAGGCCTCATGGGGTACCCTGTACATCAGCTGGATCCAGGACAGGCGGGGAACCCAGGAGTCCTGGGCCCTAAGCCGCCCGGCTCTAACCCACTAGACCCCCTCCCTTCCCAGAGCCGGGGAGAGAACCCAGGAGTCCTGGCTCCCACCCCCTGTTCTAACCCACTAGTCCCCACTCCCTTCCCAGAGCCGGGGAGAGAACCCAGGAGTCCTGGCTCCCACCCCCTGTTCTAACCCACTAGTCCCCACTCCCTTCCCAGAGCCGGGGAGAGAACCCAGGAGTCCTGACTCCCACCCCCTGTTCTAACCCACTAGCCCCCACTCCCCTCCCAGAGCCGAGGACAGAACCCAGGAGTCCTGGCGCCCTGCTCTAACTCAAAGATTCCTTGGAGGGAAGCAGAGTCTAGTGGTTAGAGCTGGGGGGCTGGCAGTCTGTAATTAGGAGTTTGCCTTTTTGATTTCCCTGCACTCCAGGTGGCATCTCCCCGGACAGGTCTCCTGGATCAGTGCCAGGGTTAGACAGGAGACAGAGGGTGGGAGTGAATGGCTGGTGTTCAGACTGGGGAGCGGTAAATAGCGGGGTCCCCCCGGGGGCTGCGCCGGGACCGGTGCTGTTCAACACATTCCCAAAGGGGCAAACGACTCGAGAGAGTCGAGTCCCCGGCAGCCAGCGAAGAGCTAGAAAGGGACGTCCCCGAACCGGGCGAGCGAGCGGAATTCAGCGTTGAGACACGCAAAGGAAGCCGGATCCCAGCCGTGCCCCCAGACCTCTGGGGTGGAAATTCGCTCTTCCCGCTCCAGGAGCAGAGCTCGGCGGCACGGTGAAAACAGCCGCTCAACGTGCCGCGTGCTGGAAGTGTGAGCAGAGGGATAGAGACTATCCTAGTGCTGCTCTGGGAACACCTTGAAGGCAGCGCCCAGGTGCAGGCGCCCATCGCAAACCAGATCTATTAGAAAGGAAAAGGTGCAGAAAAGGGCAACAAAAAGGATCAGGGGATGGAACAGCTGCCGTATGAAGAGCCGGGGCCGGTTCAGCTGGGAAAAGAGGCGACTAAGGGGGGGATGTGACAGAGGTCTATAAAATCACGACGGGGCTGGGAATAGTGAACAGGGGAATGTTCTTCACCCCTTCGTGTAACACACGAACTAGTGATCTGCTGAGGAAATGAACAGGCACCAGGTTTAAAACAGACGACAGGAAGTATTTCTTCACCCAACGCTGTCGACCTGTGGAACTCCTTGCCAGGGGATGTTGTGCAGGCTGGGACACTCACTGGGTTCAGAAAAGAGCTAGCCAAGTTCCTGGAGGGGGGTCCATCAGTGGCTGTTAGCCAGGATGGGCAGGGCCGCGGACCCCCGCTCCGAGTGTCCCTAGCCTCTGACGGGCAGCTGCGGGGACTGGGCGATAGAGGCTGATTCACTCGGGAATTGCCCGGTTTGGTTCATTCCCTGTGCAGCGCCTGACGCCAGGCAGGACGCAGGCTGGATGGGTCCTGGGTCTGCCCCACTGTGGCCATTCGTGATGTCCCCCCTTCCCCGCGTCTCCTGTTCCATCTCCCGACACCCCTCTCCTCTCTTCCAGCTGACCAGGTCTATGGAGACCAGGACATGCATGAAGTGGTCCGGAAGCACTGTATGGACTACCTGGTGAGCGGGGGCGGAGGGACAGAGCTCCGGGGATCCCCAGAGTGGCCACCTTAGCGTCTTCCCCTGTGGCAGGCCCCACGGGCCCCATGTCCCATTCCTCGCCCCCCTGAGCCAGCCAGTCCCTGCCCTGGGGCCGGGTGGGAGCCGGCTGC